CGCTATGCGTCACGCACTGCTGACGCACAGACGGAGGACATACGTTCCTCTCCTCCTTTGACTCTTCTTCATTTCTTCTTCATCACAGCCCTTCAGTGAGAATTTCTCTCAGTATCGTCCCAAGCGTCCATCGGGAGGGAACTCGCGAATTTTCAACAGTGTTCTTTGACGTATGACGTGTAACACGAGGTGCGTTCGATCGAATGACAAGTTTCCAAAATATTTGCTAAAAATAAATCGAATTAAAACTAAAATATTACGACAAGAATCAGTAATAACAGTAAGCTGGCAAAAATGTTATCTTTTAAAAGTAGAAAAAATGATTAGAAGATAGAAAAATGATATTCTTTTTGTTAACGCTGAAGAAATTTGTACGGATAAATTGAGATAAAATCTTTCTTTTCAGTGTCTAATATTTGATAAAATAAAACATTTGAAAATGAAATTAAAAATCTAACTTTGATCTTATCTTGGTATATGCAACACCTATACCAATTTCAATTACCTATTGCAATTATTTCAGCTTCTAGATAGTATCAGTTTCTAATTGCATAAGCATTTAGGTGACACATCTCAATTGATTTATATTTAACAAATTAAAGAGAAATGTTAGGAGAAAAAAAAACTATCTTAATAATAAGGTTAATAATGTTTTTAAATAGGAGGGAGCTATTCGTTTAATTATACAATTTTTCGTTTGGAATACTTTTGTACGATCGGACAAACTCCCAAGGCATTGTCATTCTTAGTCGGTACGACCCTCGGAAATCTTCATTGCGAGTAGAACACGTGCGATCGAACATCGTCACGTAGCGATTGGCGAACCGTCAGCCGCTATAACATCGGAGCGGGCTGAGCGAGCTGAATATTAAGAATTGCCGAACAATTATTAGGAAGCGCGGCGGGTGATCGGTCGATAAAATTACGGCGTTTGTTAGCTGAAAAGACATTCCCGGCGTACGTGCCCAGCGTACGTTCCGATGAACGTCTACGCAACCGGTTCAATTTCGGCATTGTTTCGTGCATTGGGCGTGCATTCCTGTCGGGATCCCTTTCGCGCTTCCCTCGATTTTGTCTCGCTTCTGCGAACCTCGATTACGATCGAGGTATGCGCGACCCGCGAACACGCCCGTGCCGCCGTGCCCGTGTCTAAATCGCGCAATCTCAAAAACCTCGACTTTGAAAGGACCTGTCGCGCCTGACCGCCCCCCCTATCGTTGTTAAATTTAATTTGTCTCGGTGCCCGTGTCGATCAACAAAGTCAAGAGGAACGCGCGTAGAAGAATGATCTCCGTTATATTTATTCGCGGCAACGGAAAACGCAACGCTTAGCGCTAGGCACGCCTGCTCCTCCTATCTACAGCGTTTCAAAATTGAATTCGCTCTTCATATCCGCTTTAAATAAAACATTCCCGGCGCGCAGGCACACCGCTAAAGCAGATGGAGGTCCGCCCATGAAAAATTCGTTTCAACTTTTTTTCTTCTAAAGTGACTTTCCTACACGCCACTTGTATATAGGTATGTAGGTATATAGGAGCGCGCGCCGAGTGTTTCACCGAGACTTCATTTCACCGGCCACGCCATCGGGAGTTGGTACACGTAAAAGAGCACGCGCGCGATAGATCACGGGCTTTCCCGATTCGTGTCGTTTTTACACGTATATCTACCACGCCGGCCGTGCGGGACCGACGGCGTGCCTGTTTTAAACGTGGAATGTATTTCACTCGGACCTCCTATATCGGCGGACGTGCTCTCTCTCGCTCGAGAGCTGTGCCTCGTGTTTTTCCTCTCCCGAACGGTAGTCGACGTGCGGACGATGCGATAGCAGAGCTGGACGGTCCGCCAGAAAGTAAAACGGTTCGGGGGATTGCGATATTAGAAAGTGTCTAACGTCGAGAAAAAGGAGGCGGACGTCGGCGGAAAGTGAGGATACGATCGTTGCGTGAAGAGAATCAGGCGCGATGTCCAAGTGCTGCGGCTGCATCGGCCTCTGCGCGACTATCGAGACGTATCAACCTCTAAAGACCCGTATCTACTCGTCGCGCGATATCCAAGAATCGTTGAGAAACGGCCGAGAGGTTCTGAGAAGCCCGAGGGATCGACGTAGGAAGCCTAGCGTTCGCTACGACGTCGTGAGGACTCCCGGAAATGGCAGGTGAGACCCTGGAGAACGACCCGGGAAAATTCAATTTCTATGAATAAATAATACAATGTAATATGCGAGATAAGTTTCAAATAACAAGGCAAAGAGGCGCTTTTCAAGAGTATAATTTTTTTTATCAAATATGTATAAAATATGTATATGTATATTAATTAATATGTCACTCGTTATATGTCATCATATGTCAATGTCATATACATATAAATTCGGAAACAATTGCTTATATCGCGAATTATGTGCCATTATTTTTGATGAATTTAGGATGCAGTTCAAAGCTGCGGTTAAATTTCTTTCCTTTTAATAAATCGATAAACAAATTTGAAATCCCCTTCTCTTTATAGAAAATTCTTATTATGAAGGTATCACCTCAGCCAGGAATTGAACCTGGATCATTTATTAGGTAGGTGACTTGTTTTTCAATCACTGAGGTATAATTTTTTTATTAGCAAAAAAAAGATTCTCGATATAATAATGAAAGATAGTAAGATAGTGAAAATGAGAATCAGCGCTGTAAATAGTGTAAACAATTGTATGTTAATCTTAATGTTTAAATTTATCAGTCTTATATCTAATCCAATTTGGCACTTTTCAATCACTAAACAATGGTTAAGATTAAACAAATAATTGCGCGCCGTTTACAGCGCTGATTCTCATTAGCTTTATTATTGTTCATTATCGTAATTTTTATCAAGTTTCAATCGTGAAGAAGATTGTTAGTGGAAGTTACGTCTTTCTCTGCAGTTCCGATTAATCGCGTATTATACGGCGAGTATACAATTTTGTGTATCGGGCGGGGCAAAGATAAATATTTGTGAATTATATAAAGTAAATGTTTCCGTTGAGAAATCATGCGGTGCTTGAACGGTAAACGGATCATTGAAAATTTGACGCAAGTATTCTCGAGAGCGCGCGCGCCGTAATTATCGCGCTTACAGATAGCGAAGCCGGAGCTGGAGATTTACCCGGGATTTATTTACTCGGGCCGTCTGCGTTTATTCGGCAAACAGCCGCTTCCGTATAATAAGCGGATGATCCATGAGCGACTTTACGTTTTAATGGCGTTTCGGGATGTCCCGCTCGTCCGCCGTCGAAATACACGGCGTAATCTCGTCGGCGCGGAAAACCGGATACTTTTAATGCACGTCCTAAGACTGAGTTTAATCCCACGTAGGGAGTTGCGTGAGATAAGCGGAAATGTATAAGTCGTTGCCCTAGAAATGGTCGCCTTAAAACTCCTCCGGGATAATTGAAGTCCACTTCCTCTCGCCGCTCTCCCGTTATTACCGTATTCAACCGAGGTTCGTATATTTGGAGAATCTTGAATTTTTTACGATTTGTTATCTGTAATAACTATACGAACTATTTTTATACAATGGTATTAATATCATTCTTTTTCTTTTATTTAAGTAGAAAAAATATAGGGAACAAAAAATTAAATTTATGTATATATAAAAATGTATTTCAAGATCTCGTTCAACGAATCACCGCCTTTTAACGTTTTAGCGTTTTATGGCTTCAACTCCGTTTATTACAAACTCCTCCATTTATTACAAACTTGTCGTTTACTTCCGCATCCTGGGCAATTTTCGGTTTTAACATGCCAGAAACGCCCAGGCGCTATCAGTCTGAAGTACAATCTCGCCTTGGCCATCGTTTTGCTTGAACCAATCGCAGGGAAACATGACCGGAATGTCGGGCCGTGAATGACACCGGCGAGAATTTTGCGAGCGTTTTCGGAACGAGAGCACGAAAGGGGCGTCGTGGACCGTGGAGGGTTGCGGCGGAGGACGTGCGGCTGGCGGAGGGCGAGAGAGTGCATCTCGGCGACGGCGGGAGGTGAAAGGTCACGTGACCGCGCCGGTCGGGCACGGAGGGGATGGGGGTGGGAAGAGGTGGAAGTCTCGTGATTTTTACGCTGTCGTACGGAAGTGCTGTCAGTTCCGCAGGAACTCTCGCGCGATACGGACTGTCCTCCGCGAACGACTCTTCTCCCTGCCGCGTGTGACCGATTCTCGTAATCTCGTGTTAACGTCTTTTCTTTTATAAATCACCTCTCCCTCCCCTGCTGCTTTTCCCTTTGGCTTTCGCTCGAAGCGACATATTTTTTTTCCCTTCTCCGCTGTGCCTGTTTCTCGCGGTTGCCTCTGGCGAGTTGTCCGAGTATCGAAGTGACGTTCTTAGGTCTGAAAGTGAAGCTGGGATTACTTCATATGCATAGAATATGCACAGTGACCCAGAACTATCACGATTCATTTACGGCCTGTATAATAATTGCTTTCACGTCGGATAATAATGACTTGAAAAGATATTATAATTATTTTAATAATGATAAATCAACGTTCTCTTCAGTTCTCTTTGCGTAAGAATCGTGCGTTAACGGTGAAATTTTTATGATACTACTTTGATACTGGGAAGCTCTAAGAATGGAAACCTCTGGCTGCGTAGAAATTGTAACAAAGAAGAAAATTATTATTTCGAATATTATAAAGTGATTTAATTATGCATTTTAATTAGCATTATTTAAAGATACGATTCGAGCGCATTGTTTTAGAATGAATGGAATCTCGTCTTCGTAATTAACGTTTCTCTTGCTGAGTTCAATCTGGCGTACAGTTTTCGCAAAAAGTTACCTTCGAGCGCGGAAATTGGATATAGCCGTCAAGACCTAACGTCACGTAACATCGTATTTGTTAAACAAAAGTTTTCGCAAATTCAGAGAAAAAAATTTATTTTGCTACAAAATGTCCGCAAACGCGAAGTTTGTGAACGAGCGATATGGAAATGGAGTTTTCTTCTTAACCATCTTCGCGTCAGAAGGGATATTTAACCGGCGAAGAAGCTTTGTTCAAGTTTCCCCTTGTCCATCCAGAGTCTAATTACCTACACGTGGCAACGTGACTTAATCTCTACCCTCCCCCTTCTACTCTCCTCCCCTCCCCTCCTCTCTCTCTCTCTCTCTCTCTCTCTCTCTTATCGCTATTAGCTCCCATTCCATGCAGCACAAATAATGCATCATTTCGAGCAAAATTGCCGCATCTCACGACTATAAGAACTCTGATTAATATCGTTGTATTATGCAATGCTACCTCGCTGCTAAAGATCAAAGTAATTTCACCTCCCGCTACGAAGGCCTCAAATTTAGAGTTACTAATAACTGTTGCACCGTCATTGCAAATGATGAGGTTCCACATACGTAAACTCGCAAAGCTTACCTAACGTATGCGAAATATTTAATCCGTATCGCGTACGAAAAGTTCACCGATACGTTCCGATAAAAGATTCAATCGGGAAACGAAATATAATCGGGCTTTATCTGTTTTAATTTGATATGATCGCTCTTTCGACTCTCGGCGTTTAAAATATTCAATCGTTATCCATCGCGCAAAACTGTTCGCTAGATAGAATTGCCGGTTGTAATTTCTGCAATAATTATATGATATTCCTGGCGAATTATTGACAACTTTTGAAATAATACAATTCGGCCATACGCTTCTCCCCGCCCCCCCCCCCCCCGGTGCATGCCACGTTCATTACAAGCCGCTCGTAACGCAACCCAACGCAGTCCCGTTTGGCTTTTGCAATTTATTTATTTTAATTAGAACGATGTTTTCGCCCGCTATCGTACAAATATATTCCGTTTTAATGACATCTAACGACCCCTTTATTTGCAATTTCGCGTATGCATTCGTTAGACACTTTCTTTTTTTTTTTTTTTCTTTCTTCCTTTCTCTCCTCGTGCCCCGTTAACGAACGAACGTTATTTCACATCGCAGGCCGCGAGCCGTGTGTTCGTGCCGTGCCGTGTCGCGGGGTGAAAGTGAATAAAGTCGTGTATGACGTACACGCGTGTCTCGTGTGCACGCGCGTGCATACGCGTCGGCTCGTGTGTTCCCAGCGGGTATTGCCGGCCACGGGCGATCGCTCGATCGCAGTAAATCCCCCCCTTCATTTCGCGCCGCGCAGGGACATCGATCGCACGATCGATCCGCTCCTACCTTAGTACGCTGGATACCAAATCGAGGTGAGGAATTGTCGGAATATCGGAAGAGGGGCATCCGTTTCGATATTTGGCCGAGCATTTCGCGAGATGAGCTACCGGTGTGGTCCGCTGTAATCGCCGAACGAACCAATTTCGAAGCGGCGGACGGTCCAATGTTGTACCCTCCTAAGACGCAACGATTGCAGCTCATTGGACGCGTATTAAATTCTCGTTAATTGCGCATGAAACTTTCAGAGCGTGGTTCACTTGCAAAATTTATTCCGCGCGACTTAACAATGTGTCGTTGGCCCAGATCTTTTTCAGGAGTTTTCAAATTCAAGCCAGGCCTTTTCGCTGCCGCGATCGATGCGACACCGCCAATTAGAGATTGCGATCAGCGGCGTGTGTTTATGATCCGCTATAATTTAATTGCATTCGCGCGTGTATCGTTGAAACGTGCGAATGAATCATGCGTTACGTCACCTTGCGAGTCGACGCCGGAAATGCCACTTTTGTAAGAAGACACGACTGTTTCTACGATTGTTTCGTTAATTTATCGATTTCGATTGCAAATGCATTTATTACACATCTCTTTGATCAAACTAATTAACGGGATGTGCGAGCGTTAAGCTTGCGTAATCGCAAATTCGAATATCACATCGTTGAATGAGAGGAATAGTTGAATATTACGATCGACAGTAAATGCCATCGATTCTGGTAGATCGGAAAGGGGAATTCGACCGTCGAATTTCCATCGTATGCCGTTCAATTAGCTTGACCTCGATTTTATCGTACGATTGATAGCGCGGCAGGGATTGAAATCAGTATAAATGAGCAACCATTTGTTCGGACAACAACGGCGGGCGGCGGGTCTTATCGAGCAGCGGCGCGCTATCGCCGTTTTCAGCTGAGTCCACGCGAAATCATTTCGCGTGCTCGCCGAAAGCGGGCGAAACCGCCCGGAAACGCACGTGCGAAATTTATTTCGGTCGGCGTAATCCGCTGGCGAAGTTTC